GGCACATCTGGGGGCGCATCGCTGCGGTACGGGGGGGTGGCGGCATCCCGGGGGGAAGAGGGATGGAGGAGCCGGTGGTGACACCGCTGTCACCGCCGCCCGCCCGCGGGCCGGTGCTCCGGAGGGGCGGTTTTTCCCTTTTTGACAAAATTTAGACGCTAAACTTGCAACGTTTGCGTAGGGAACAGCTTCACTGACGTGAGTAACGCCGCTGCTACCTTGTGGGGTCACATCAACTGGGCCGGGGGGTGGGGGGGAAGCAAGGAAAAACAACCCCCAAGCCAGTCCCTAAATGACCAATGTTCTGCAAGTCAGTCCGATGACATTAGCAGCGCACAGAAACGCAGGGGCAGAGCCTGCAAACCCCCTCATTAGATGAGTAATCCTCATGTGAGTGCTGAAGTCATTGGCCCTCGATCACTTGATGTGCACCACAGGACTCTGGAAAAAAGAGCCACATGCAATACCATCTCAATGAGGCAGATTCCATGTGGACGCATATATCCGCCTCGATTAATTCCCCTCTGCAGCGTGTGGGCCTTCATGTGTCCGTAATATTCCCCTGTCATAGAGTTTATAACCTGCAACTGTGACAATGATTGATTTTTTGGGGGGGGAGGAAGTATGAAAATACACAGCTTCAAAACATTAGCTTAGAGTGAGGCTGATGGCAGAACGTCCCTGGGGGACACAGCGCATGTGGGACACTGCAAGGGCTGCTGCAGGGGAAATAATTTTAAATTCATCATGTTTGGGGGGAAAACATCTTCTGTTCATAGGGGCCTAGTGGGAAGCTCTAATAAAACCCCAAAATTAAACAGAATAGCTGGTTTTGAATGTCCTGAGACTGTCCCTGTCGATCAGCACACTTGGATTTTGAAACAGGGATGTCAGATGGAAAATGGAGTTGTGGAGCAGGAAAAAGCTTATACCAAAACAAAACAAAAACCCAACAAACAAAACCAGGGAGTCAGTGCCTTGTAGTTCAAAAACCAGTTTCTGAGCAACTGCTGCTTGGGTAATCACCATGAGCTGGTTTTAAAATTAAGACTGATAGAGCAGAGCCACAGAAGTATCTGAGACTTGGGCAACACAATCGTTTTTGTAGCTGGACTGATGCAACTATGTTGGTCAATCTTCCTTTCAGACAGCTGCCTACAGGGGCCATTTAGTTAGCAGGGGTGGGAGGAACAGAGAGTCCTCTGCTACAGTGTGAAAACCTTTGGTGACCTTTGGAGCAGGTGTTGCTGTTGAGTACAGCCATGCCATAGGGATGGCCGTGGCTCTAAAACCAGGACCAGCATCAGGGCAAGCTGCTCCTCTGGATGGAATAGCTTCTGTGTGTTGGTGACACCCAGCCTCACAAAAACCCTTGGACATCTTGGGATCTGTGCTCCGGTAGGTGGGGGCATTTGGGCTTTGGGCATGAAATAGAAGCTGAGGTGCTGCGTGTGGAAATTGTGGATCTTTCTGGTAAAGAAATGAGGTACCTCTAATGTGTCAAATGTCAAGAAATAGCTAAACTGATTTTTCGGGAACACAGCTTTGGAAGGAGATGGTAGTTAGGGTAGTAGTTAGATCCCAGGATCTTTCTTGGGATCTGGGTATATGTCACACCTGGGGAAAATGGTCTGGCAGAGACAGCAGAGATCCCTGCCAGACACCAGAAGGATAGTTCTTGCCCTGATGTATGCATTTGCTGGGAAGAGTATGTCAGGAGTTGGCTTCCCTTTCCTGACAGTCCTGTGATTGCAGTAACCATTGACAGAAACAACCTCAACTCAGTCATTAACTCTAAAACCAGTCCAGAGTGTGGCCATCTGATTGTGAATATTTTTCAATGCAGAGAACTTTGTGTGACAGATGTTGGTTTGCGTTCTCCGCCCTGGGTGTATGGATTCAAGCCTTAAGGAGGAAATGGAGGTGGAGGAGCTGGGAAGCCAGCCCCTGTGCCTCGAAGGGCCTTTCCCGGCCCTGCGTGTTGCCACTCAACATGAGAAGGGTTAGGTACCTTCTGACAGATTTTAGGCTTTCCCCTAGCTCGGCGTTTAAATTCCAACCAAGCTCTTCCTTCTCAGATAAAACCCTGCTCCTACTGATAGGTCTGGTATTTGAATGACATCTGCTGAAAAAAAAAAAAAGGTCTTTGGCAGGGGCTAAATCTGCTAAATATCCTTCACTGGTATTCATGATAACCAGGAGTCTCTTGAGGGACTAGAGCCTTCCAGGAAAAAACGGGCAGGAGGGAACAGGCAAAAGGTGAATGTCTAATAAGGAGAGTAAACATTTCTCAAAGCAAAGAAACCATCTTTTGTGTGGGAAAGGCGTGGGGAAAGGTGGCACGTACCCACACTCTGCTTTTATCTATTACCCTTACCAAGTCGTACAATGATCATCGAGGGGTGGAAGAAGAAGCAGGGGCTGCAGCCCCGTCTTTAGGGGCTTTAATACCGTGAACTGTCAAGCACTGAACTGCCAGTCCGGCTGCTCCAGGGCCCTCCAGACAATAAATGCTGCCATCTGGTGCCCTGTGTCCGGCTGCACACATCGATCATGCTGGTCCAGCAGCAGCACACAGAGATGCTTCTACACGGCGCTTGCTAAACGGAGAGAGCAGCCTCTCCACAGAGCAGTCTTTGCTGGTCTGTGGGTAACTCCGTGGGTTATCCAGTGGAGTACCTGCACCTCCACTAGTTTTCAGTACTGATGTAGGAAAACTGCTGACTTCAGACAGAGGCGAGTAGTCCTGCTAATAAAATGCTGTAGAGTGGAATTTACTCCACTGCCTCTGAGTTACTACTTGTTTATGTCAGGACAGGGTTTTTTTTTTACTCTTATACAGTGGAAAAGTGCGAAGAAAGCAGAGAGCTGGACTGTGTGCGTCAGAAGGCAGTCTGAGTGAAGAACCCTGATCACAAGGTCTAGACTCCAGAGAAATCATCAGTTCAAAGCCTTTTCTTTTGGATATCACAATTCCTGTATCAAATATAAAAATGTGGGAAAGAGAAAACAATGGATAGAACCTACTTGTGACAGTCACCAGCAGTCTGACTTGTCTTGCTAAATTGTCTGGACAGATCCTAACCTAGCATGGAGAGGGGAAGGGGTACAGAGTGGAAGTGTGTGTGCCATGTGCACACAAGCAGTGTCAATGCACTCAGTTTAGGAACAGAAATCAGGCAAGATGCATCGAGACCTTGAGAGCCATCTGCTGGCACTTAAATCCATCAGGGTGGTGGAAGGACAAGAGCAGTCATGCCTGACTCCACAGCTGGTCTGAATGTCACCAAAGTTTTGAGAGCTTTGTAGTAGTTTTTCCTTTTCGTTTTTTTGATGCTGACCCTGAGCCAGATCCTGCCATTTAATGAGCTGTTGTTAGTGAGGAGCCCTTTCAGAAGTGCTTGCCAAGGTCAGGGAGGAGCTTGCTACCTAATGCTGCGTTTCCGTGTAAATTGGATTAATGCTCCTTATCTTGTCCGTGCTCTGGCAAATATCCCATTTCCCTAACTAGGATTAGGGCATCACACTTACCCTGGTAATGGATTATCTCAGTGGAGGCTTTCACGAATTGGTTTGACACGCTGCTCACAGGAGTGGTACAGGCTGGGGGTGGCTGATCTCCACGTCTTTTTTGGGTGCACACCGGATTCCTTAAAGCCTTGGAGTCTCTTCAGTGGAGAACCAAAAGATCTGTACCACAGAAAGCAAAGGGGTTAAAACTGGAAGGGAGGAGAGAGAAACTTTTGCCAACCCCTTACCTCTTGGATACAGCACTAACTGTAATTCCTCTGTAATTACCTAGAGATGAAAGAATGCTCTGACGTGAGAGATCAGAACTAGTAACTTTGTGAGAGGGAGACAGGGAGCACACAGAGGCCCTGGCAGACAGGGGCACAGCCTGGTGTGAGCA